TCGACGCCTGAAGTGCAGGCACTAACAATCCCATGCTATGCGCTTGGGGCCTTGGCCTATTTGGTGATCGCTTGGGTCAGCGACCGAACTCAGCGCCGCGGCCTGTTCATTTGCATTTTCTGCGCAATTTCTGTCGTCGGCTACGGAATCCTGATTTCTGATACATCCTCGGGGGTACATTACTTCGGCGCATTACTCATCGCTCTAGGGCTATATGTGGCGGTTGGGCTGCCACTCGCATGGCTTCCTACTACGCTTCCTCGCTATGGTAAACGTACCTTCGCTACAGGTTTACAACTCACGTTTGGCAACATCAGCGGTGTCATGTCACCGTTCTTATACAAAAACAACGAAGCGCCTCGGTTTGTTCGGGGAAATGCCGTAACGTTAGGTCTTGTGGGATTCGCAGGAATAGTGTATGGTCTCATGTGGTTCTACTACCGCCAAAAGAACATTCGCAGAGTCCAAGGCTTCGAGGACGAGAAGGTTACCGGGATGACCGACGAGGAGATTGAGGAACTGGGAGATAAAAGTCCTCGGTTTATTTATAGCACGTGAATGTATAGTACATAGAGCTACTCCTGTGGAATTAAAGATAGACAGCGATCAAATACTTTGCAAGCAAAAGATATACTCCGAGTCGTATTTTGTGTATATATATTCAAGTTGTCGATAGATCTACATTGAAACGGTAACACGATAAAAGGGACAATATGAGAATAGAATCCGAAATAGCACGCCATACATTCAAAATCGATTATTAGAGAATAAAATGGAAAGTTATCGTGGATTCAAGCACCCTGAGTGGAGAGGGTGTCACTCAATTGTTTCACTGGGTTGTGATCTTAAAAATAAGGTGTCTCGGCAACTTCTCAGTTGATCCCTGCATACCGCTTGCTAACAACGCAGTGTCCACCTTCTATCGCTTGGTGATCTATCGATCGCATGTCACCCCCATCATAAAAAGATGCTGAACGTAACACCACCATGGGCATTAATCCTTCCCCTATTGACTGCAATTGTCAGCGTTTCCTATTATAACCGCAACCCATCTAGTTCCGAGATTGGATCACCTCATTGCGCAAGCTGGAACGCCTGGTACAACCCACTTCGATCAGGCCAGACCGGATATCAAGTCAATGAATGGAACATCCTTTACCACCTAGGCGGTAATGGACCATGGATAGAGAAGATTGACGGGCTTGAAACGCCGGGTCTTCAACCCCCAAAGGGGTGCGTCATTGATCAAGTGCATATGGTATGGTTGTCTGGCATAGCTCATAGTCCTCTAAATGGCGCTCTTCAATTTGAATTTAAACTATCATTTGAGTTGGTTCGGAAATAAATACTAATAACTAACAGATGTCTCGTCACGGAGAAAGATATCCGACCAAATCTGCTGGGAGTCGTATGTCCCGCTCTTGCCACCATTAATGGTATACTGATGGAACCTATTGTTTCTAACACCTATTCCAAGGTCATCTCGCACTTCTAAATCGAATTCAGGAAACAAACGTAGTTCTTAACGGCTCACTCTCCTTCTTGAACAATTGGACATATTTTACCGATGAGCCGCAGAAAGACTTTGACCAGCTGACCAGAACTAGTCCGTATGCTGGCACACTCCAGGCTTTCTCAACAGGCGTCCGCTTCTTAACGCGATACGGACATTTGCTGCCACGCCATGGGACAACAAGACTCTGGGCAAGCGAATGTGACCGGGTGATTGAAACAGCCCAGCATTTCGCGTCTGGATTCTTCGGCCTGGATTGGGAAAAGAATGAAAAGGCTACGTTGGAGATCATCCCCGAGACACTCGAGCGAGGTGCTGATACTCTGACTCCGGGCGATACATGCCGAAAATATATCGAAGATCCTGCGAACGGCCATGACAACGGTGTCAATATGCTTGCGCTTTTCCAGGACGTGTACATCCCACCTATTGTCGAGCGACTAATAAACGATGAGCAAAATTCAGCACTTGGATACTTGACTAATCCAGAGGTCTACAGTATGCAAGAGATGTGTGGATTTGAGACGATCGCTCGCGGGTCAAGTCCTTGGTGCGACATATTTACTCATGATGATTGGGAGAATTTCGAATACGCCCGTGACTTGATCCACTACTACCGTGCTGGTCCAGGCAACCCGTATGCTGGGGCAATGGGTTGGCTCTGGCTCAATGCTACGACTGCTCTTTTACGATCTGGGCCGGAAGTCGGTACTATGTTCTTCAGTTTGTGGGTGACATTGTGACTCCCAAGGATCAAATGATTGAGAAGAGTACTGACACCCTGGCGTAGCGTTCATGATGGAGATATCACTCCTTTCCTCACAGCACTGGATATAATGAAGGATCCGAAGTATGACCCATTCCTGCCGACCACACATAGAGTGGCAGACCGCGTCTGGCGTACCTCGTCCGTCATGCCAATGGGCGGAAGGATCGCTTTTGAGAGGTTAACTTGTCAAACCTCATCGACGAAGGACCGCAGTGGTGAAGAGGCCTTTCTTCGTGTTAATATAAACGACAAGATTGTTCCACTGCCATACTGCAAATCTGGACCTGGGCTGTCGTGTCCGTTGAAGGAGTTTGTTAATTATGTAGACGGACGAAGATCGGAAGTGGGAGATTTTGGAGAAGTGTGCGGCCTAGAACACGATGTCGGGTATCTTACATTCTTACGACAGGACTAGGGCGTCATCTGCTAGAGATACTATGTACAGGCCAAAAACGAGTTTTTTGCGGTATAAATGCTGTTATTTGTCGAGCCTTCGAAGCTTCTCATTTTCGGCTACAGGAAAGTGAATGGTCAAGTGATATAATACCGTCTAGGTCACTTGGTAGAGCTATAAAAGGAAAATATAAACTAATAAATATATGAATAAATGAAAATAACATAAAGATAAAATTTCTAAATGGCTGTTCAAAGTGTCAGTATATTAAAGGGCAAGAAGATGGAATGATAGATGGGTCCCCACGTGACCGTCTCCGGGCTAACAGAAGAAGTTGTTTACCGCAAGCCCCAAAACTTTTGGGAAGATCGGCTGCTTCCTCATCGAGGTTTTGACAGCAAGCTTCATTTTTCATCCTAGCTCCTTGAATACACTTTACGCCGCTCTGGCTGCGTTGACTGCCTTCAATTCTTGCTTAAATCCATAAGAACCAGAACCCTTTATAATATGGAGTACCATTTTGTTCCTCCAGAGGAGCGCGCAAAAGATGACAAGGGCAATCTTCTGCCCTGGGGCTATGTCTACAAAGAGTGAGTATAATATTCCATTGTGCCCCTTTCTATTTACCGCTCATCGATGTCATTGACTAATATGTCGAATTTAACTGTGTAGTGAATCCCGGAACCCTCGACGACCACCTGAAGAGAGTGGCCCTTTTGGAAAGAGGAGAAACGCTCGCTACGACCATGCTCGATCGCGTACTCGTACGGGAACACCTGCAAAGAAGGAAAACCCAAATGTTGCGGAGTTCGGACGGCTTTTCGCGATGCAGCAAGAGGAGGAGAAGACTCGCAGCAATACCTTACCGAAGTCGACATCTGCCTCAAATCTCGACAACGCACGAAAGCAGACGGAAAAGGTCGCCACAGAATGCATACTGTACGGTTACAAGAGTAAAGACACTGAGTGGAAGGTGATCGACAAGTATGAGCGGGTGTCCAGAGGCGTGATCTGTGAAGATTACCCGCGCAGCGATCCTAATTCTATGAGTGGGTATTCACAGCTTCTGAGCGGCGGTGATGTCGTAATCCATTCGAATCTATCTGCGGACGCGAACCGCAAATCGAAGCGTTATGCAGGTGGTTTTCACTGGATCAAGGTTACGTTCGATTCGACGATCGCTGCGGACCGGGCTTGCTTCTACTCTCCCCAAGAGATCGATGGACACCTTGTTTTCTGTGAACTGTATCATGGCCAAGGACCCGCAGAGGATGTACCAATCCTTGCGGATTCATCGGCCGCCGAGCAGCAAAAATCGAAAGCCACGCGCACTTTGACCACTTCACGCTCTACCACGTTGAATGAACGCTCAACGTTACCGCGGTCATTCACTATGAATAGCCTTTCTAGTGTCCCGGATGTAGAAGAAGGCCAATCACTAGAATCGACGCCGACTGCAAGCTCGATGACGGCCACCGGTGTGGATCAACCATCTACGTCTTCCCTTCAACAACGTAATGTTCCCCAAGAGCCGAAACCCGAGTCTGAATTCATGACACATATTCCGACTGTGCGTCGGGCAAAATTACGCCCGATCGCTGAGGCTCTCCCGCCCCAGCCGACCGTCACTGAGCGCGTTCTGCGATCTATTCCGATCCTCAGTTGGTTCACTGGTGACATCGTGGGAGACGGGCCGCAGCTCAAGGAGGATGGGACATTCGACTATGATAAGTCGAACACCTACTGGCGTTTCTGGTATATGATCGATATGGTTCTCGGAACTGATATTTGCGGATTGCGGGAGGAATCATGATCTCTCTCAATTCTTGCTCCCATTCCTCTACCACTTACCAACTACACCTGAAGTTAGCACCGGCGATGCGAAGCTCTGCAGCGTCAGTCAATGCAAGCCCAGCTTCGGGCCTGGAGTCACTCCCGCCTGTGAACAAACGTCTCCACCAAGTGGTCCTTGTTTACGATGACTGGCGTAAACAATACCAATACCCTTACATGTACGATAGTGCCCCGCCGTCTGTTTGGCGCAAGTTGACGTTAGCCAGGTTGGCAGTTTTCGTATACTCTATGATTTATGGCATTTACTGGTCGGGATCTTGATTAATTTTGCATGGAAGGCGAAAGGAATTAATAAACTGGTCGCATGGTACCTGTCTACGGCTTTTTGTAGTATTACAGTGTCAAAGCACTTATAAATGTCGATCGTCGCATTACGACATGTGCCTTATTACCTCCCATTTTTAGGAAAAAAGTACTTCTACGATTACCCTTAGAAGCAGAACTTGTCGTAGCACGTTCTCATTGAACTCTGTAGACAAGACCCCTCCTATCATCTTCACCCATTGCACCATTTCGCAATCCTCAAACCCAAAAACACAATAACCCCTAAATGCCATCCCTAAAACCCAATTCCAAAGAACCAAAAGGAACCGGAATAGTAGAGTCCTCAAGAATAACAAGAAAGCATTAAAGCGAAGAGCGAAAAGCGAAAAGCGAAGTGTGAGAGTTAGTGAAGAAAGAAAAGAGAAGAGAAGAGAAGAGAAGAAACAAAGATGATGACAACCCTTTTTTAATGTCTTTGTTCACATTTTTTATATCAATCAATTAAAACTCATGATATGATATGATATGGGTAATGAATTTACTCGACATTGCTCTCGAAGTTCTCGCCCTCAACCAGATCAGGGATATCATCCTCATCATCATCCTTCTTGCCCTCAGCACCGGCCTGGTTCTTCTGCATGTTCTGGTAGCTCTCGGCGAGCTTGCGGAGGGAGGCGAGGCTGTCGGGGCCAAGCTGGTTCAGGATACCGGGGACGAGCTCGGTGAGTTCCTTCTCTTCGCCGTTACCGTAGAGAGCGAAGGTGTTGGAGGGGACGGAGGCGTGGACTTTATAGAGAGTAAGATAAGTAAGCAATTTGTTTTTCTTTTTGTTAGATTGCGACGTTTCCAACCGGCGGGTGCCGGATGGATTTATAAGCGCCGGGGGGGTGGTTATATATACCCTTGGGAGCACCGAAGTGGATGACGTTTCCGTCTTCCTTGAACATGTTGACCTCCTCGATGGCCTGGATGGGCTGGACGTTCATCTTCTTCAGGGTAGCCTGGAGCTTCTTGTCGTCGGCGCCGGAGGACTTGTGGACCTTCTTGACCTTGCGGCGGGGAGTGCCCTTGCCTCTGTTTTTAGGATATTTCGTCAGTCGGGTAGATTCATGGTCGGACTTGTAGGAATTGGGAGTAGATCTGGTATTGAGAAGAGAAGGGCGAGATAGGGCATTGGGAATGTGTGGGTTAATTTCCCATTTTCGTGGTCGAATGCGGTACCCGAGGGAGAGACTGTGCGAAAAGAAAAAGAGAATTTATACGTACCCTGTTCAACAGGATGATATAGGTTAGCTAACATATCACGTCACATTATCCAAAAAAAATTCAAAAGTAATCCCCATTTCCGAAGCTTCCCAGGATTTCATGTCGCGAGTGGCGTCTGGTCCTTGGAGCTTTGGCGATTTGCAGACTCGTCCGTGTCGGGTATCGCATTTCCTCCGGCTTAAGCGACCAGTTCCTCTCGCTGCCAATGCCACTAAATCCCAGGACCACTTATTTCCAGAAGGGATTGGGGGGGAAAATAGAGGAAAGAAAAATATCAGATGGACACGTACCAATCCGCACGCTAGCCTGCATGCGAGCCAACTTTGCCTGATCCATGATGATGATTGTGCGTTGAGAAGATGTTCCTTGAACCTAGTGGGATGAATGGACGTCAATAATCTGGATCTGTGGAAACTCGGACTCGGTAAGGCTTTGTGGCAGAATGTGTGGCTGCCAAGAAAGCGGTGGCTGATGCTTTCCTCCGGGGGATTTCAAGAGAGAGGATGAGCGGGGGGTTAAATTGAAGAGTGACAATACACACCGGTTAGGGAAGACGAATGACAGGGTGAACGGTTGCAGAGAGTACAAAGGGGAGAAAAGGATTCCACGTACCAAAAGAAGGGGAAGATAGTTAGTCAGTGAACGGTTGTGAGAGTCACCGTGATCGAGAGAGAATGTCGTAGTGTGGCTGATGAGATGATGAGGTGAAAGTTGGTTGGTTTGTGTGGGGAGGGGGGGGTAACGCTGATTGTGGCTGTTACCTACTCGACCTTTCCCTCTTCTTTCTCCTCAAAGCTACTGTCTGTCTCTTTCCTCTACGCGGTTGGGGATTTCCTCTTTACGCTAGATTGTTTCACCTTCATCCGTGCTTCCCTTCTACCTGAATTTGTCTCTCTGTACTACATAGTCGTCGGTCTGCTGGTGGTCCGGATATTGATTGTGGGCGCGAATTGGCTTTGGAGGTTTGGCAGCTGCTCGGCTAAACCCTAACGATCATGGATCCGTAGTCATGCATGTCAATAAGTAGTGCATGGGTGAAGGTGAAAAATTCCGGAAAGACCAGCTCTCTGCCATTCTTTGTGGTTTTGGCGACAGAGCTATCCTGTCAGTTAGGATACACTCAAATCTCATACCGCTTTAGCCGTCCTGCTACTAGGTAGTCCAGCCGGCTACCCAATCGCTTTCCATACTTTACTAAGTACTCTGTACGGTCCGAGTCATTCATAACCTGAACCTTCGAAAGCAAAATTGTTTTTTGTAAGGAAAAGAGAAAAGTAAAATGAAAAATAAAAATAAAAAAAAATAAAAATAATACAAGTCAAATGACACTGATTAGCCAACCATTTAGCCAAAAAGAAATTATCAGTATACTAACTCCAGGTTAGTCAGAACTTGCGCAAGTCCTGCAATAGCCCAAGTAGAAAACGATTAAGATTAGACTTATATATCAACCAGCTAATGTGTGTATCATATTGCAAGGCAGCACGAGGCAGAGGAGAGGATCACAATTTCTCAGCGATCTGGTTCTCTGTCCATTCCCAAAGCTTTCGTGCCAGGTCTGCATCATCGGCGAATCTGCTCGAGCCGCGTACCCCGATGGGAACATAGTAAGCGCCATTGACCAATTGCTCTCTCTTCGTCCCGGCAGCCCAGAGCTGGTTCATCGCCCCTGTGCGTACACTACGAAACACGGTAGAAAGTACACCGACCCCAAACCTTGAGATGGCATTCATCGCGCCGGTATGGCGGTATAGTTCGCTAGACACTGCACCCGGATGAACAGAAACCGAGAGAATTTCTGGGTATCGGCGGGCAAGCTCCGACGCGAAAAGGATGTTAGCAGCTTTAGACGCGCTATAGCGTACGAGCGTGTGGGCGGCCAGGAGAGCAGACGCTGAGGTCATGACATCAAAGGATGGAGCGGCATGGCTCCCCACGGAACTCAACGTCACGATTCTTACATCTGATGCGGCGTTTCCAACGGTTTTTTCTAGCGTAGGGAGGAGCAGTTTGGTAAGCAGGAAATGGCCAATATGGTTTGTTCCAAATTGAATTTCAAAGCCTTCCTTTGTAAGCTCTGGCGGATTCGCCATGGTGCCAGCGTTGAGGATCAAGATATCCAAACGATCACACTCCGAGCAAAACTTCTCTGCCGCATCGCGTATAGACTGGAAAGAAGACAAGTCAAGATCAATATGTCTAATGTCAACGGAGGCTGAAGTGGTTTCTTTAATCGAGCTGATGGCCTCATGAGCTTTAGTAGCATCTCGAGCGGCTAGGTATATGCGCGACGGGTTATGTTGAGCAAGCTGAAGGACTGTTTCTTTTCCAAGACCGGCATTCCCTATAAAAAAAACCCCCGTTCCACGTTAGTATGCTATGGCTGGAAAGAAGGTGTGTATGGATTCGAAACTCAGTCAAAAATTTACCTCCTGTGACAAAAAGGACCTTCCCAGAGAGGTCGCCAATATCTCGGCTCGGCTCAAAGGAGGATCCCAACAGGCCAAAGGTAGCTTCACTCAGCGTAGGACCAAGACTTGAGTACATATCCAATGGATGGCGCAAGCCATGCAAGGCAAAAGAGCAATTGAGAGCGATATTTTGATAGAGAGACATGTCGAACGTAATGTACTGTACACTAGTCAAAGAGGAGCTGTGCAGTTAGTTGACGCCTTCGGGGTATATACAACTAGCCGGATCCTTTTGGTGCTGGAGGGTAGAGATGCCGTGAAACGTGGGCGTTGATTGCCATGATCCGTCCTTGTCCAACGACCGAGGTTCCGAGATTAACTCTCGATCTAAATTGAATTTCTCCACTTAGTAGACAACGCAAGGGGGTATATGATTGCAATTCATCCAGAATGGGTTCTCGATCGATTTAAGACGTGTTTCAATGAAAAGAGAACCGAAAAGGATGAATATACTCCATGTGTAAGGAATCCACTTTTCTCACGTAGATTGTGGTAGTGGTGAGCGATCGAGAAACTAGTGAAATGCAAGGTAAGCGACTAGGTAATGAAATCCCGTGTTCTGTTTTAAATTCGGGTAATCTGCACCGTCAGCATGAACCTTCTAAGAGTAAGAGTCAGAACATATTTAGCCATTCAACATTCCATAGTTTGAGTTCAATTTAACCTACATCTAAAGTTCGATTGCGGATTGTTCTTGGGACTGCTCAAGATAAATCACCATATACCTTCATATACTCAATATGCGATTCCTGTGTTTACATGGCTCCGGCACGAGCGGGGAAGTATGTGGAACAACGACTGCTTTCCGTCTCTCAACCACATGAAGATACTGATTAACAGGCAGATTTTTGAAATCCAATCCGGTAATTCAATCAACATCTAGCGGCCCTGGAGAGGAAGCCACAGATGACCATGACATATCGTCCCACAAATCGTCAGTTCTAACCACAAACAGGCGGCATAAGCCAGGCTCTGGAAACAAAGGGGCATCGCTTCACATATATCGATGGCCGGTTGGACTCTGAACCTGAGCCAGGTACGAGTTTTCCCCCTCGCTCTCTCTCCATAACATCGCCTTAACTGGGCTTAGAACTGAAGGGCATCTTGGATCCCCCATTCTACAAGCACTACCCCCGCGATATCGCACCCGGCGAAGACCTCGCGCGTGCCATCGAGTACACCATGAATATCATTAAGACAAAGGGTCCATTCGACGCTGTAATGGGGTTCTCACAAGGCGCCGCTCTTGCAAGTTCTATGATTGTCAACCATGCAAAAACACATGACGTGCCGCTGTTCAAAGCCGCCGTCTTTATCTGCGGTGCGGCGCCGTACGAGGCATCTGGAAAGGAGACTATTCAGCCGACGCCAGGGGAGTATCTGGTCAAAATTCCTACAACCCATATCGTCGGTAAGCAGGATGAGATTTACGACCTCAGTATGCAATTGTATGGCCTTTGTGAACCCTCGAAGGCGGAATTTTACGACCACGGATCGAGGCATTTGATCCCCTTCGATAGCAAGAATACAGAGGCTATGATTGCTGCTATCGAAAAGACTATTAAGCGTGCGAGGACAGGGTAGAACTCAAGAAACCCGCTTTGCTTTATTCGAGATGCGAAAACGATACGAACAGGGAATCATGTGCAATGCGTCTGGCCTTTTAGACAATAGATGAATATAAACATATGTATCAAACAGGATTCTGATGCTCAATGTTATCTCTTTGAACCGTCGCTTCTATCCCGAAAGTTGTATCTCGAGAGCAATATTGCAATCAATAAGCATACCATACCCAAGACAATGCTAAATGTCATCTTCTCCAAGATCGAGACCCGGGAGGGACCATTGAGTCATAGCCCAGCGGAAGCCTGGCCATCACCTTCAGCAGGGATGACCTGCTGAAGGAACTTTTCCAGATCTTCGATTTCCTGGGGATCGGCAGAATGGCCAAGATCACTAATGTCGAATCAGTAACACAATCATCCCGTGCAGAGATGGAAATACTCACGGGTAAGAGTTGAACTGAACATTCTCCAATCCGAGTTCTTGAAGCAGCTTCGACGAGGTCTTTCCAAACTCATACTTCACAATATCATCATCGGTCCCATGAGCAAGGAAGAACGGTGTCTTCTTGTTCGGCCAGTCTTCGGGAATCTGGTTCTTGATGCGATCGCTCAGAAGCAAGTAGCATGAAAGTCCGAATACGCCTCCCAGTTTTTCCTTGTTGGTAACACCTGTAAACACAGACATCGCGCCTCCTTGGGAGAATCCACCTAGAACTATGCGCGAAGGATTGATGCCCTGATCGATTTGTTCCTTGATCAGGGTGTTGAAGTACTCGCGGGAGCGGAGGATGCCTGGTTCGTCCTGGCTGCGGATGGCTTCTTCGAAATCCAGCTGCCAAGGTGTTAATTGGAACCAATACAGTAGGAATTAACTAGGAACACGGGCAACTCACATCACGGCCGAGCTTGGAAAGGTCGTACCATCCAGGCATTGACATACCAAAATTCTGTAATGCACAGAATCATTCATCAGTCCATTATCTCTCACCCAAGGGCATTATTTACTTACCACTGTGATAGGAATCATGGGGGCATTGGGGAAAATAAAGGTTACTTCTTCGAACAAGCCTCTACGGCGCCAGTTCTGAGCAAGGCCCATCCTATTAGGAGAACGCGGTTAGTGCCTGTATTAGGCATCCTTCAATTTCTTGGAGAGGGAAATTAATACATACCATCCAGCACCGCTGTTCCAAGGGAAAGCTGTTAGCTAACTGGTACTACCTTTCAGGCATGGGCACCAACCTGTCGCCCAGACCATGAGCCATGATCACGGTTGCGGTATGTTTCTTGAGCGCAGGAACGACAAAAGGAGCCCGGGTCGCCATTTTTGCTGGAATTATATAGTCGCGGCAAAATATTGACCGAATAACTGGGTGTAGATGAAGAAGAAGAGACGTGGTCCACAAAAGAAGGAATATCGGAGGATAGGGAGAAGAAAGAAACGCTACCTAGATAATTAAGACGATAACGCGATAAACATCCCCCGCGATTCTGCCTATCGAAGCTCTCACCGCCTAGTCTGATAATGGATCATGCCCCCAACAAAGACCACAAACCCGACTTTGTGTTTACTTCAGTGGGTGTGAGCTGAACAACAACTCTGTGCAAATATTGAATACTGCGCACCCCAGTACATGCTGCTTTGGGGCGGAAATGATTCAGAAGTAATGGTGAAGGTGTCCCCCTGAGCGTTGCAATAGACATAAGGGAGGGAAAGATTGACTTATTCGGTGCTAGTATGGACATCGTCTTGCTAAAATACCGGAATTTTTTTTGAATTCAACGGTTGGAATGCCAATGTTAGCTGTTTATCGATACTGCACCACCTTGGGTGAGATTTACAGAGTCGGTAAATGCTAGCTTACGTATAGAATGTAATGTAAAACATGCTCTACCTTTACGGAGGGGTAATAAAAAGTAATTCTGTACTAGCAGTAGATTGTATAGCATTCAACTTTATCAAAACGGAAAATAAAGGCAAGCTTTGGCCACATTTTAATCCATTATCCATAAAGAATCATCTCGAATTGGCAAACTTGCTTGCCCATAGATTTACCCAATTGAGTTGGTCTGTAGTAAATATCTATATTAGTTCACGTAGGGTTTGCCAGAAGAATTACAGCGATAGATGGCTCAATTACATGCCCTATCTTTGGTCAGAATTTTGAACTAGACATCTTACCGAGCTATGGAATGATAGATCGTCACAGGCTTCTGAAGTAAGCAGGCCACACCCGTGTCTCTGTTTGGAGAGACGAGCGATGGTCCTTTGTGACCACCTAGCCAAGTTCCATGTATCACTGAAGCTCATGACCCCATGACAGGAGCAGCTCCAATGAGATCAAGCGGTGTCCATTTGGTTCTAGGGCTGGATCGGCTATATCTTGAATTCCGTCTGCCACGTATCTACAAATTGCAGATCAGGGAAACCGAGGCGACCTAACAAATTATTGTATAGGCATGAGTCAGAGGGAACTTGATCTGTGGTTTCTCTGATGCTTTCCCATAGCCACAATCCATGATCTGGTGAATGTTCCGGGGAAAGATAACCTTGAGATACCAACCCCAAACAACCTTAGCTATAGGAAAGAAACAGTTGATATATCACAGAAAGATCAAGTCATTTCCAGAAGGATCTTGCAGACTGGACTCACATGCGAGCGCTTCGCTTTCTTGTAGGTCTCTTATATACAGGTACATTAAAGACCGACCTATATCTCTCAATTAATTCAGAATTGCTAAAATATCAAGCTGTACTGAATACAAATGGGTGGACAGTGGTGACTCTTACTTATTACTATGATTACCAGTTCTATATACTTGATTAAAACTGTGGAGTGCAAACAATGGAAAGACAAAAAAGGAAACCACGTAGAAACAAAACCATCACATACAGAGATCGTAAACCTCCTTCCTTATCGACTCAATAACATTTAGGATAAACAAATCCTCCACAACACCCTTCTGCCACGTAAACATCAACACCAAGCAACCATCACCGCCCGAAACAACAGAGACTCCAATCGCACTTCCCGTAACAGACGCACTCTGCGAGAAAACGACGCGTCCAACCCGCGGCATCCCTTCTGCTGGTGTACCAGAAGGAAAAGCCCCGACATTTGACACCTCATAGGTGGACGACCTCGGCTGCCCGAGCTTTGACAGGTAGAGCTCATTTTGGTAATCGTTTACGTACCTAAGAAGATTGGCAGAAGTGTCCTTACCTTCTTTGCTGAGTTCTCTTTCGATTGTCACACGAGACCGCACGGTCACGAACCAGGGGAATGAGGTCTCACTGACATCTTTCCGAGAGTAGTCTTCGGTATTTTCTTGAACAAAGACGCCCATCGAATCTTCTGTGATGGGCTCGGGAAGCCAGCGACGGTTGGACATCGCGCAGGAGCATCTGACCTTTGTGGAGGATTCGGGGAGATGGGCGAAGAGGGAGCGAGCGACGATTGTTTGGAGAGCGGCCGTTATGGTTGTCTTGTTTTCGCGGCAGCGGTCTCTGAGTGTGGATGATAGGTGCTTTGGGAACACGATGTGCTTTAGCTTCGTCTCCAAGGGGAGCTTGATCTCCGAGCCGGTCCATAAACCCGGATCTCGGGGGTCGTAGATCTTAGCTTTGAAGAGTTGAACAGCCAGGTAAGTGTACGACACTAGCTTAGGATGAACGGCTTCCCCGGGAGGCAGAAGCGGTGAATCAGGCGATGGAATAACTTCCTTGACGTCGTCGACAGTCAACGATGACAAAGATTGCAACGCCTGCAGGAAGGATCTGTGGAAGACTTTTCCCGATGAGCCGTCAGAAATGGCATGATGGAAGACAAAGACGACGGTGAACCGTCTTTCGGCAGCATCGGCATCATCGGTCAACACGAAAATTCTCCAGAATGGCAATGGAAGCTCAAAAGAGGTATTATGCTGGGAGCTTAGCAACACATCCAGCTCTTCGTCCCGGTCTTCTGCATCGGAGAAACCGTGCTCACGCTTCTGGAAAAAGACCGATTGGCTGAGATCGATGCTCGGGAGACGTGCGAAGTAAGGCTCCTTTGTCTCCTCGTCGATTGGGACGGCTGAAAGAATTGGGTGCTGCGCAATGAGTATTTCACATGCTTTGTAGATATAGTCTTTGATTGGGAGGGTAAATGATCCCGGAAGTGTGTAAGTTGCTGCTACGGCTACATTGTAATAGAACCTTAGGTGGTGGCGTGCGGTGGAGCATAGCTCTATGCGACCGACCTGCTGGGCGTCAGTTATGGGGCAATGCTGTGGCCCTCATGTGAACGCTCACTGACCGGTCGAAGCTTTGGGAGTTGGTCCATGGCTTTCAATGGGAGATGGGTAGCCACGGAAACATGGAAGCCTATGATAGCGGATGGATAACATATTGTACATTTATGCACGTGACATAAATGCTGCCCTAATTTAATATGGCCGGGATGTTGACCACATCGCGTTTTAGGCCTAGCGCCCGATATCCTTGTTCTCGATTCCTCTGATTCCTACGCATAAGTAGGGCCTCATGGCCACCTCGATGGGAGTGCAATACGGCCTGTCCCACCTGATCTAACGCTTCGTCATACTATACGCTGATACGGGAGAATATGAAAGAACGAAGACCGTGGAGTTTATTCTCCTATCCTGTTGGGCCAGGCATGGCTTTTTCAGATTGTGCATAGCTGCAGGATATAAAAAGATATAATATACAATGGATGCGTCATAGGACAACAGAATCATTACTCATGACCATAACAGCCCCTCTATATAGAGTGAAGGGCAGGAAGAAAAAAGGAAAGCGGGAAAAAAAAAAAGAGCCGTAGACTTATTGTTCTCCCATAGCCTGGAAGAACTACCTGAAGGTAAAATTCACAGAATTGCCATCCCACCAACAACTGCAGCACCCAACATTCCCCAAGCGGCAGTCTCTAGGGCGACCGCACCAGCAGTGGATGTAGCGCTACCGGTAGAAGAACTGGAAGAAGAGGAGGGCGACGAGGAGCCGCTCTGCGCCTGACCATCGGCAGTGGACTCGTTCGCATTGCGCTTTGCGGCATCCCCGGTGAATGAAGTCGCCTTAACTCCAGTGTTATTCGAGCAAGAGGAGGGTGCGGAGTAGTCCGCCTCCGTGAACTGGATATCAGCACACTGGAATGAAACGTCAGTACCATGCACCACATGAGGATTGATTGATCCAGGACGTACCGCGTAAAGACCACCGCTTGGGTCACCATTGCTCTGCACCTGCAGGGTTGCGTTCATTCCTTCTGTCAACTTGACGCCGACGATGGACTCATCGAAAGTGATATTGGGGAGGCAGAAGGAGCCCAACCCCTCCACTCGGAAGGTCGGGTGGAGAGTAATGTTGAAATTGGTGCCAGGGTCGTTTCCAAGAGCAAGAAGCACTTCCACAGCTGTCTGGGCATGGCCCATTGTCAAGGCAACAGGGAAGTCACCGGCGGAAAGAGAGACCTTCGTCCGTTCCGAAGATTGAGACAGTCCACTGCAGGGAAATTGAGTCATCTTATCCTCATCGAATCCACGACTAGTCGGGTAGTTCAGCTTGAAGTGAGCGGAAACCAGGGGCGCGAGAGACGCCAGGGAAAGGATTGAGAGCTTCATAGTCGCTGTGGAGTTGAAGATTAAGACACTCGAATAGAATATAGGTGTATGGAGGGAGAGGTATTAGACAAATACGGTAGGGGAATTGATTACATTATATAGTATTTGGAGGGGGGGTTGGTTGGTTGACTGAAGGTGTAGTGGACATCGATCGGCAACTTCGGCACTTTTCTACTCATAGGGACAAAACTGTTATCAATTGGAAATTTAACGGAGATTAATGCATTGGACCAAAGTTCCACCATATTCAAGCGTCATTGACCTAATATGAGGTTTCTTTGAAATCCGGACTGGATCTGGGCGCCATCGTGTTGTTTGCTTCACATAAACCAAGAACACATGCACAGAGACTAAGATGGAAACGGTTAGGAAATGTGCTCATTTCTTCTCAAAAGCTTTAAAGCACCTGCAGTTCCTCAGGTGGAGCCCCCCTGTCGGCAGTATGGACCAATAGGGAGAGTCACACATCAACCACTCTCGAGGTCCTTGGGCCTGAGGCACTTTGGCGTTCAGTCATCGCGCAATCTGACCTCCAACCCTAGTTGAAGTTTATTGGGCGAAAATGGACTCATCATTCAATGTAACCAAAAAGGGAACGACAAAAATGAAACGGGAGCCCCGGAAATTTTCCTGGGGTAGGTGACATCGACTGATCTGGCATAGAAGTACTACTACATTGTAAGTTAATAGCTACTTATCCTACTGTCATTCGTTGACATGAAAGTGAGCACATGGGTATCACCATTGGTACCTTCGAGGAGAATTCATGATAATAACAACGGGTAGAGGTATCATGGACAGGTAATCGAACGCTTCAAACTCCGCTAAATGCATGCAATGCTCGCCTTAACCCCAGGGCAATTAGTGGAATGCCCAAACGCCAAACCCAGGTTGTATAGATGGAAAATAAGAATTACGCCTGCAGAAGTGTCGTCAATGGCCATGCTCATTCCATTGAATATACCGCCCCACCGCCAGTTCGCCTAGAAAAGCACCACCCAACACAGAGCAGAAGTAGCCAATATTCATAGTCATGACAGCCAACATGCTGGAAAAAGGTCAGTACATACTGAAATCAATGAGGAAAGATGACAAGCCAACACGTACAGCAGATATGACACTCCTGTAATTAAGAGAAAAAGGAATGCTCGCGGCAGATCGACACTGAATCTGAACGGAAGAGGCTCGCGTGTAGCCCGGCGCACAACTTTAACGGACTCTTCCACCCCTTGCGCGGATACGAGTGAAGCCACTTTGGCATCCGGATCGGCGTCGATACGACCAGCTTCCGTTGACTTGCCCGCGACGGCCACGTAGCGACGATTCAGATGAGCATTCAACCAGTGCTGCTCCATGACACCCTTGAACGCAACCAGGAGTCGGCCAATAATGGATAGAATGATAAGGAAGATGCACGTGCCAGCATACGCGCCACTGGATGATGGCGTCCACTGAGACGAGAACAGGGGTGTATCCTGGGCATTAACGAAGACCATTGCCATCGACATCGTCATGGATGATGAGGATGATGAGGAAGAGGACGAGTGTGATGAATGATCCATGCTGCTCATATCCATGGTGACAGGTTTGGCGTTCACTCTCCAGTTGACTCTTTGAAATAGTAATCTCGATGAAGGCGCCCCGCTATCTCGGATATCAGATCTCTCTTCTGAACTCAATCAAGGGATTTGATATGATAGTTGTCGCTGTAGTCAAGGGGTGATGTTGTTCAGGGTGCTGAGGAGGGAAGGAGAAAAGGAGGATGAGAGGAGTGAAAAGAAAGCACGACGAAGTGGAGAGAGAATGCCATGATGATTAGAGACGGCGTTGGGATCTTTATTAAAAGTTGAGACAAACTGACAGGCTTGAATGCGGACCAGAGCCAAGCGTCACACCAGCGGCCTAAGGGTGGGGACGTGAGCACATTTTAAGGGCCGGGGCCAATCACGGGTCAGAGATTAGGGCTCCATCCGCAAACATCTACTTTGGAGTGTGAGCAGATTATTAGTCTTAAGAGTGGAAATGGAAAGCAAACCAAATAAAATTAAATCAGAGAACACGCGTTAATAATTACTTAACTACATGGAGACTTGGTCGTTCTATCTGATAAGCAGTTTGCATATTTTCCGGTCATTTCTGCTTCATCTATCCCCCTCACTCGCTTTCTCCCTCCTCTGTCTCTCTTCACCGAATATGACCTCCTACTGATTTCCCGGTGAATAACGCTTCAGTCGACGGAGATCCTTTTAGATCCATCCCGGACTGTGTACAACCCAGTCATTATAATAGTGCCACGTGAGAAGTTCAAGAAGATGTCATGATACCCCGCAATAGTGCTATTCAATTAATTGCTATTATTCTCGATTGAAGATTACCGATATCCGTCACAAAGAAACAGCACGCACAACTCCACCATGTCAATGGGTGGGATGAACATGGGCCCAATGGGCCATATGTCCATGGGCGATGGCGTTCCAGGCCTCTTCTATCTCCAGAAGATGTATTGGGCAGTAGTAGGAAGCGCCATAGCTGCTGGGACAGTAGTCAATGCTTTCAATAATTTCCTCGCATTTCAAAGGTCAGTATAGCCCCCCCGTCGTTCGAGAGATACAGCAAAGCTTACTCGTAACTCCAGACTAAGAGATTCCACTCTCACCCCGTCAAAACCCAAATCACTCTTCTTCAATACATGCGCCACTCTGACGGCAGTCGTTCGAGAAGCAAGCTACGCAACGTTGCCCCCATGGTCACTAGGTGGCCGCATCTTTCACTTTGCCCCGCTAGGTCCACTAGCCATCATCTTAGCCAATCTAGTCGTGGTCCTTGTCTTCTGCTTCTACAAGTTGGACACAACAGATCAATGGAAATGGGAAGATGTTGGCTATCGCACCGGATTTGTAGCTATTGCCCAGATGCCTTTGATCTTCCTGCTGGCAGGAAGACAGAATATCATTGGACTTCTAGTCGGCATGAGTTATGAAAGATTAAATTGGTTCCATCGCTGGATTTCCCGGACTCTATGGCTAACAGTCACGATTCATATGGGATTTTGGTTCCGGAGCTGGGGACGCTACGACTACATCACGTACCAACTGAAAAACGATCCCTTGTCGAAACGGGGCTTTGCTGCGTGGTGTATCTTGACCTTTATCGTCCTATCATCCATGGCACCCATACGACGACTAAGTTATGAATTCTTCGTTTTGCAACACCTCGTGACATTCGTTGGATTTATTGTTGCAGTTTGGCTACATGCCGCGGATGAAGTCAAAGTGTGGGTGTGGATTTCTATCGGTTTGCTCGTTTTTGACCGCGTCGCGCGATACGCATGGGCCACATATGCCAATTTATCCATCTTCCACCGCTCTACTTCAAGCACGAAGCATGCCCTCTGGGCTAACCGGGCTTCTTTTACTCCCTTACCAGGGAATATCACTCGCATTACAATCGACAGCCCGGGCATCCGATGGGAACCCGGACAGCATGTGTTCCTGACATGTCATTCAATCGTGCCCCTCCAAAGCCACCCATTCACCATCGCCTCTATCCCTGCCGACAACAAGATGGAGTTTTTTGTACGCTCTGAGAAAGGAGGCACTAGGCGTTTCTTCCGTTATGCATCTAGACATCACCACGTTTTAGGCTCCGGGGATACGGCCCCCGTGAAACCGGCCCGAACCGTGTTCATTGACGGACCATACGGAAGAATGAGGCCGCTCCGTCAGTTCGACAGTGTGGTACTGCTTGCGGGAGGAATGGGGGTGACCTTCATCATCCCCTGTCTGCGAGATATTGTGTCCCGGTGGAAAATGGAATGTCTCGGAGACAAGGAGCAGTCTGAGAAATCTTCGCGACTCATACCGACCAAACGTATCCGATTTGTATGGGTGATCAAATCGCGGGCTCAACTTAGCTGGTTTGAGACACAATTGCAGTCCGTGTTAGCTGATGTAGAAGAATGTCGCCGTGCTCAGCCTGACATGATCCGAGAGGTTGAACTGAGCATATATGTGACCTGTGACGAAAAGCTGGAGCCACAGCCGCAACCAGTGCAGACTCTCTGCTCGCAGGCCCAGCATGACTCCACAATTGTCAGTACTCGCCAAGATGCCAATAGTATAGAACCAGCTGCTACCACAGACGAGAAACGCAGCAAAAAAGACGATGTTTCGATCCATTCCATCTCCAAAGTTTCTTCCGCAGAGTCTACACCACAGAATGGCTGCCTCCCTGGTGGCGGATGCTGCTGTACAACTGCCATTGAAGATGAGGATAATAATAGCATCACCGAACATAAATGTTCCTGCTCCGGGCATGCCGCTACCTCTCAAGTTCCGGGGCCGGAGCCAGAGAAGCCGGACGTTAAAGCAGCATCAATTAGAGTACCCGAGCTCCCCATGTTCTCCGGTCGACCGCAACCACGAACCATCATCCGCAAAGTCTTGGAGAAAGCCGAAGGTGAGAGTGCCGTGGTGGTCTGTGGACCGCAGGGTCTATCAGATGATGTGCGTCGGAGTGTGGTGTATTTGAGCGATGAACGGGCAGTGCATAAGGGAACAGGGGCGCAGGGCATATATCTACATGTGGAGAAGTTTGGGTGGTAGAAGTCTTGTCTTCGAGTATATCATGCATGCTTTACGACTGTACATATCGACTTTGACAAATGGACATAGCTAATTTGCGAATTTTAATATACCATACTACTTCAGTATAAACAACAACCGGTGGAAGATACGGAGTAATAGTTCAAAACGTGTGCCTATCCCTAACCACACCTCTTTACTACATCTTCTAAAATGTCTTGAGCGTCAAGCAAAGCAAATTATGCTAGTACTTTCCAGTTAGTCCGCCTTATAAATACTACTACCGGTTCTTTGCATCAACCTTCGGCCGGCTGGCCTAATGGTAAGGCGTTGCTCTCCTATGGTGGTTCCACTCGTAGTAAAGCAAAGATTCAGGGTTCGAGTCCCTGGTCGGTCGTTTCTTTTTTTGTCAATTTTTTCCCCGTTTATCTTTTTCTGATATGTCTGTTCGTTCATATTTTCTATTCGGCAGTGCCAAGTATAGTCTGCTTTTCTCTTTTACCTCTCGTAATAAGATTCAAATCTTGACCCTGGAACAGCCGACCAAAACATTGTAAAGCATAGCGTGACAGCTGGTCATGTTCCAACTGAAAAACACGGTCATAATTAGGGCCATACCAAATGTATGAAGATACAGTATTACAAGGGGGGGCAAAACCAAGACGAAGGAACCAGCAGGTAACCATCGCCAAAAACCTGTCACACCCAAGGTACGCAGTAATCAACCCGCATGGTAACTAAACTATCCGTTGTTTTGTAAACCAGATGCGGGTTAATGGGGACCAAAGTATATCTATAGATAGACAGAAACACTCACCTAGTAGAACTACCCTCAAATGAACCTATACTATCTAATCTAGGCAAATTGGCAAGAGAACAATGACATCTTAAGACATGAGATTAGGCCTGCCTGTGCAGACACGGAACGCGTGATTTTGGTGGTGGCTGTGTCCACAGCGCAACTCCTTTACTTGTGTACACAGAGGTAGGTTTCTCAGGGATCTGATCTGATCTGAGATCTGGGTTGACTGCGTGACGTGGAGCTGGTCGCCTTATGATCCCAAAGTTTAGATCTACAGGGTGAAATAAACTATTTTACTGGCATTGATAAAGGATGGTTTTCGCGTATTTGATACCCGGTGAAAGATGGGAATTGGGATTGGAGGGTTGAGAGATTTTGCTGACGCGGTATGATGAACTGTAAGCGCCGATCAGTACCTGACCCGAGTGTACTTTTGTATGGGCGTATCAGCTATACAGTACGGGAGTACCGGGTATCGCAGGAAAAGAGGACTGTAAGTACAAGTACAAGTATTGGGATTTTGTTGAGCTTTCTAAAGGATATCGCATTCACTTTACACCTATGGAGGTATGCATAGTCTATTTGGTCCTTAAAACAACTGTATTGAAGTAGACGGTCTGCGCATGCTTATTGGGCAGATAATCTTGAGTCAGCATTTGCCGCGTGACAATTTTAGACTTTCAAGCTGAGAGACAAGGCTTCACTCCATAAGGCGTTGGCAAGTATAGCAAGACAATGGCTGCAAGAGTGAATGATAAAAAAGCAGTTGATAATGGCGTGATTTTTGTTTTAGATAATTAGAGTAAATAAAAAGAAGAATGAAAATTGTTTAACCGGTCGAGTCATCAAAGATAAGAGCGAAATGGGTTGGTAATTTTTTTGGGAATGGTATCAGCCGCGGGATCAAACTTACGCCGACGGTAAGGTTTTCGTCCTGACGAGCTCGCGTAACTTAACCGCCACCGTCTCGTCTCGTCTCGTTTTTCTCCTGCCCGTCAACTCTTTCCTTTTCACTTTCTCCCCCCGAGTCTTGCTGCCTTCTGCTCGACCAGCGCCCTTCCCTTCATCCTATACCGTCGACTCAGTCGTTGCGATCATCTTTTTCTTTAATCTAATCGCTTCAGATAATCCATCCACCATCGATTTCATCAATCCTTTTGTCGTGAACATGGGTCGTACCGTCGACCAGGAAGTTCACGCGGCGTTCGTCGAGTTCCGCGCCAAGGAAGACGATAAGGTGCGTGTCTTTGTATTTTCCGTAATATTTCAACCTGCCGCCCCCAACACCGCGATACTGACATGACAACCTGTTTGCGCGCGATATAGTGTCTCTCCGTCCAGTGTATCTACTGCCAGCAGATCCGCGCCAAAAACACCTCGCGTCAGAAGCAGCATCTGCTCGAGTGCCCCGGTCTCCGTGGCCATACCAACCCCCAGGCTCAGTCTCAGACTGCTCAGTCCGCTCCCAATGGTATCGGTGCTACCAATGGATATCCTCCTACTCCCAATGGCGCGACAGCCACTGCACCAGGCCCTGGCCCTGGCCCAGGTGCCCTGCCTACTCCCAACGGGCCCATGATGTCGAACGGCGTCAATCCTCATGCTACCCCCATGCAGACACCGCTGCAGAACATGCAAGGCCGCGCTTCTCTTCCCACTTCCGGTCCCACCGGCACTTCCTCTGCTCCCCCGACTCAACAAGCTTCTCGTGCGACTCCCAAGTCTAAACCGAAAACCTCGTCCTCAAGTCTGCCCGCCCCGCCTTTGGATGATGTACATGCTGCGTTTGTCGAGTTCCGTGCGAAGGAGGAAGACAAGGTAAGATATGCCTCTGCTAGTGCCATTCCTGATACTGCCGAGTATCCGTGTCTGACTGGAGTCCAGTGTCTCTCTGTCCAGTGCATCTACTGCCAGCAAGTTCGCGCGAAGAACACGAGCCGTCAGCGTCAACATCTCTTGGAGTGTCCCACCTACCTTAGTGTGATGAAAGATTCGATCCCCGCCAACAACCTCCTCCACACTTTCCCGGAAGGCGATGTGGCTCGCTCATTGCAGATCCCCGCGCCCACTCTCGAATTAGACTTCCGCATGAGCATAAAGATGAACCCGAAGGTGGCTGTTGGTCAGAGTCTTTGGGGCCAGAGAGACTGGGTCACGTTTGTCGGTGGCCAATGGGCGGGCAGATGGGGCAAGGGTATCGTGTTGGTATGTTGGAGAATTCATCAATGGTTCTTAGCGCGATATACTGACCAAGTTTTAGCCCGGAGGACAAGATTCGCAGATCGTGACGAAGGAATCTGCCACCAGTCTTCGCGCAAGCTACATGCTTCAAACCGCAGATGACCCACCGGCTTTTATCATCGTGAAGACCAATGGGTGGCTCACGGGTGCCAAGGACGTTTTGGACAAGGTCAACGATCCAGGCGTTGCGGACACGATCAACCCCAACACGTACAAGTATCGTATCAATCTCACCATGGAGACTGGTGACGAGCGCTACGCATTCTTGAACACCTTGATGTGGGTTGGCAGTGGTTGCCGCAGGGGCCATGAAGGTTAGTAGGAACCGTGATCCCGTGTAGGCAATACTTTACTAACTGCGTTTTAGTCATCTTTGATTCGTTCCGTGTCAATTGATCTGCTACAATATTGCAGCTGTTTTGTCGGTTCTTCAGCGAGTAATTTTTTGAGGGGAAAAATTGTGCTTTGGTTTCTTCGCAAGTTGTGTCTCTATCTGCCCCAGAGTATGTCTTGAGCTTTGCCAGTGTTTAAGCCCTGTTGATCTGGATACATGCTTTTTGCCTCATCCCAATCACGAGTCCGCTTGATGCGTTCGTGGAGCACCCATGTTCTTTACGACTTCTCTTCGTTTCTGTCTGTTACTACTGTAAGGTATTTCATTTTCTTTGTGTCGAGGTGCAAGACTGGTGAATTTCTACTCTTCTATATCTCCCGATCCTTTTCATATTAGCAGTGCAATGTGAATATCCTGTATCTCTACGAGAATGAAAACTTTCAGTTGATCGGAGATATATAAATCTCAACATGACAAACGAAGACCACGAAAATAACCACATAAAACAACAGTATCGCATTGTAAATCCCGAAATAGAGTACCTAACCCCAAAGAAAAAATAAGTATAGAAAACAAGAATATACAAGGAAAACCAACGTATAGATCTAGATCTAGATCTAGATAGTAGACATAGGATACCGTAATATTCACTAGTTAGTAGGGGATAGGATACTCCGTACAAACTGTACAGCTATACAGGTACGGGCAGTAAGTATGTTAGTAAGTAAGTACCGGAGTACGGAGTACATATAATACCAATGAAGCTAAAAAGAAAATAAATAAATAAATTCGTAACGCAGTATAAAATATCGTATAGTAAATACTAAATACACCCCATAAACCTAAAAAGAAAAAAGGTAAAAACAGATTCCCAAGGTAAAATTACTCGCACTAGCTACCTTTAACCGAACTATAAGTTATTTATTCTAGTTATTCGAAGTATATAAAGCATACGGGTGTACTTATTCTCGGGACGTATATGTATATGTATAATTTTTTTTTTTGATGAGAGATTTATACATTCTTACGTATCTTATGCAAAGTAGGAAACATGTGTATAAATTGTGATTTTGGCCAGTTATGTTTTGGGGAAATTTTTCCGCACTGCGTTATTGAACTTCTTGGGTTTGCCAGAGGGTTGGGGTTGGGGGTTAGGGGGCTCTGAACCTATCTTTTCTTTCTTCCGTTATTTTTTCTTTTTTTCTTTGCCCTTTGCCCTTTGCCCTTTGGGTTTGGGATTTTGTTACTTTAATTGCTTGCTATGGTCGTGTGTTGATTACTGCGCGTGTTGGAAGGTCGTTGTTTTGGGGGAGTCTTATAGATCCATTAGCGGTGGATGGGATGTACCTATAGTGTTAGGATATCTATTTTTGCTATAGTTGTGCCTTATGTGAGAGGTTATGCATTGCATGTTAAAAAGAATTGGAAAATTGCAATTACTAGGTATATTTCTGAATGGCAAAAAAAATAAAATAAAATAACAAACAGTCGTAAATCGGCGTCTATGGTTTACATTGAAAGCATGACTATATTGAACATCACCTGGGACATCGACTCTCATTTAACCTTGTCAAGTCTGTATCCACTGACTTTTGATTTAAAAACCTACAGGCATAATTAGTAACAGTATCCCAAATGGTGACTATAATAGAGGATCTTACCCTTTTCTGTGTTTCCGTCTCCCATGCTCTTGCTACTGCTGTTGCCGCTTTGGATAGCACCCAGGATACCATCCATGTATGGCGCACCGCTCCATTTCTGGTGAGTAAGGACCTCGACTCCGAGTTCCTTCTCGCGTGCCTGGATTTGGCGTACGTAGGCGAGCATGCCCTCGTCCTTGAAGGCACGGGAAAGCTCCGTTGTCACGGTGGCGTTGGTGTGTAAGCCGGCGAGGGAGATCAATTGCAGCACGAATCTAAAAATAACATATTAGCCTGTGTATAGCCTATGTCAGTAACGCAACTTACCCGTGCGGGGCAAGGTCCCAAATGAAAGACTTGAGGGACTCTTCGGTGAAGCCCTGTCCCATCCAGTTGAATGACGGACTCAGGTTGTAGACTAGCTTCTTGCCGGGGAAGGCGCTCCGGACGTCTCCGGCCAGCTTGGCGGCCTTCTCGACATTTGGATTGCCGGTTTCAACCCAGAGGAGGTCTGCGTAGGGGGCAAACTCCTTGGCTCGCTTGGTGGCTGCTGGGAAGCCCGCCTTGTAATGGTAGTAGCCTTCCCGCGTCCGGGGAATATCCCAGGACCAGACCACCGGGGTCTTTGTGTAGTCACTTGCGAGGGCTCTCCGACGGGTAATGGAGAGGTCGGGATTCTCCTGAACTCGCTTTTTGTATGCATCCCTAACTGATTGAGCGGCTCCTTCTCTTTCGAGGTGTGCGTCGACAGCTAACAGGGTCAGTATGGATAATTCAGACGGGGAAGCAGGCGTTAATACCTTCGTCGAATGTGACAAGCTTGTGGCCCTTGACCCAGTCCAATTCATAAGCATCGATCTCTGCAGGGGCAGCACCTTCCCGTTCCATCGCCTGCAAAGTTTCTGCCAGAGGCTCAGCCTCCTCTGTCACACCTAGGATAAACTCGTGGTCGCGCACATCGATAGCGCTGCTGAGCAGTTTTCCACTCTCCGAGTCTGTCCGGGCGATGAGGAGGTTCTCAGAACCCATCATATCCCATTGGAAACGAGCGGCAACAAGCCTGTTGATATGCTCGCCCACGGGCACAATGACCTTGCCTGCGAGGTGACCGCACTTCTTTCCGCCATGGAGCTGGTCTTCGAAGTGGACCGCAGCAGCACCATTCTCAGCGAAGAGCTTGGCAAGCTTTAGGACTGCAGAGAGTCCTCCATGTCTACAAGAGTAGCCGTTAGTCAATAAGTTCTTCACATAGTGCGATAGCATTGCATACCCAGTATCTCCATCCGCGATAATCGGTCGCATGAAATCTACGTAAGGGGTAGACTTCCGCTCCTCCGGGGTCATTTTCCGCCTAGCGTCCCAGTTCTTGCGATCATGCAGTTGTTGAGCTTTGAACAGTCTCTGGACTTGGTTCGGAACCGTGTTGTACGGGTAGTCACCCATGTCTGGCGATACTTCGTGGGTAGTAGTCAAAAGGGAGGAGCATGCCCAACCGGAAATATACAGGACTTCTTGGTTTGGGGCCTGCTGCGTCATTTGCACCGGATCAATGGCGCCCACTGTAAAGGGATCGTCAGCTTTGGTCTTCGCCACCACCGTCTTGAACGGGATACATACTGGTATGAACCGGTTTCCCTTCCGCCGCTCTTTCATTCAGCAAGTTGAAGAGTTTCCGCGCCATCAAGGAGCTGGGGTAAGTCTGTTGCAGTGAGCCCCGTTTGCTGACCACGTCCGCAGCCGAATAGGGTCGCTTGATGCCCTCGAAACGCGGCGTGTTCCACCACGCTTCCACATCTTTGATCTGTTGCTCGTACAAAGCATCCTCAGCTGCTCCGGCCTTGTCAACCGTCGATAGAAGTTGGTAGGAATCGCATGGTAATGCTGTCGACACGGGAGGTTCAACAGCGGATAGCGGTGGCACCGACATCCGCGGATAGCCGCAGGTAAAGGAACGAAGGGCGAGGCGAGATGTAGACGTGGGCGTGGGAAGGCGTCGAGGGATTCGACGGGGAATTGATCGAAACATTATCTGTGACAGTACAAGAGTTCACGATAAAGCGAAAGGTCTATGGAGGGAAAGGAAAAAAAGGGGAGAGGGAAAAGAAAGGAAAGGAATGAAAGAAAAGAATAGATCATTTATGCCGGATGATGATGAGCCTGAGGATTGTTACCTCCGCGGCGTTAATGACTAAATTAAATGGGCCGACCCGCCAACCTCGGTCGGTCTGGGGGATCCCGTTTCCCCGCCATCCCATCCAATTCATTCAAAGTGCCGATTTTCGCTGCAACTGCACCGGAGTAACTAATGCATGACTAAGGATCTTCTCCTTCTCAGGTTCACTATATAAGAAACTGCTGCAGGGGCGAACTCTCTCCGAGTATGCATATGTAACTTAGCAAAGGCTTACATCTCATCCTCGTACGTAACCCTCACTAGTCACGGTGGACTTTTAACAAATAAGACCCGTCGCTATACTAACTAACTAGTATGGGGCCAAATGCCAATCGACTGGGTTGTATCGGGCGAGAACAGAGTTTGCATCGTTCGAGTTGGGGGCTGGTGTTGGATTTCTTGATTTGCTCCTCTATCGCCATCAAATGTAGTGATTGGGTCGTAGCATCGTGTAAAACAGGTATCCACGATCTGACATACACGTGTGCATAACCAACATATATAAGGGTCTCTCACCACTTAATCATTCTACGCTCTTTGTAATCCAAGAACTGGCATGGTACATCATATTCTGTGCTGTGCTTCTCTCTCCATTGTTCCCTCTCTCCCACTGATTTCACCGTCCCTGACACCACCGTCATGTGCGGATTAACGGCCTTTTTGACTGTTGGGGGAACACCTGGTTGTGTTCAGTGTGCCAATAATGCCCCCAGCCTAGAGAAACAGCTAGAGGAAAGCTTAGACTTGGTCAAACATCGAGGTCCAGATGCGCGTGGTCGTTGGTTCAGCCCTGACCACCGGGTCGGTAAGTATTCTGTACTCCACGAATAGCTTGGTTACAAGACATTAATCCACGACAAGGTCTGGGACATGTCCGACTCTCGATCATCGACTTGAGTCCTGCAGGAAACCAACCGTTCCACGACAACGAGGGCGCTATTCACGCTGTCGTCAATGGCGAGCTCTATGACCACGAGCAGTATCGAACAGAGCTGGCCCAGGAGTACGACTTCAAAAGTAACAGCGACTGTGAAATCGTCATTGCGCTCTACCGACATTATGGAATATCCTTTCTCAATAAATTGAGAGGCGAGTTTGCTCTTGTCCTCTATGACGCGAATCGCAAGCTGTTCTTGACGGCCCGTGATCGATATGGTATCAAGTCACTGTACTGGACCATGGTCGGAAATCGGCTTTTGGTCGCTACAGAAATGAAGTCTTTCCTCCCTTTTGGCTGGAAGCCAGAGTGGGATGTCGTAGGTATCAGGGAAGGCGCCTGGCTAAACGGCTCGCAGATGTTCTTCAAAGGGGTGCAACGAGTACGTACGATATACATGAAGTCCCGGGAACGTGCGAAATAAGTGCTTTCATTATTGTTGCTTGTATCTGACGATTACTCAGCTTGCCCCTGGGCAGTACATGGTCAGTCGGAACTCCATGCCCCCTGAGGTGGGAACGTACTGGGATACCGATTATCCAGATAAAGTAGGGGACACCCAGCAACCATGCTTACCTCCTAGACTCTGACCGAATATAGAAAACAGTCTACGCGCATTCTGAGGAAGAGGTAATAGATCGAGTGAGGGAGCTTATGCTCGATGCTGTCCGAATCCGACTGCGTGCTGATGTGGGCCTGGGGATCTATTTGAGTGGAGGTCTAGACTCGTCCGCCATAGCGGGTATGGCCGTGAAGCTTGTCCAGGAAGGAACCAAGCTCGGGAACGACACAAGCGGTGAGCGTTCAAAAATAGACTGCTTCACGGTCCAATTTGAAAAAGATAGTGGGTACGACGAGTCAGGTACGTCTTTCAACTTTGGTCTGTTTCCTTGGATGTATCTCCTGAACGTTGGCAGATATCGCGCGACGAACCGCTGAGTGGTTAGGCGTCGGATATCACCCCGTATACTTGAACGAGGAGGCCATTGCCGCCAGACTCGAGGATACAGTCTGGTACAGTGAAACCCCAGCCGCCAATGTCAATGGAATGGGACGACTGGCAGTAGCTGAGGCTGCCCATGCCATGGGGAAAAAAGTCATTCTCACCGGTGAGCATCGCTGTCCATTGTGGCACCAATGCCCAATTATGTTAATCATGCTGCGATTCTTAGGCGAGGGCTCCGATGAGCACTTCTCGGGCTATTCTGACTTGCTACCCAACTTCCTTCTAGAGCCGGATCCTTCGTGGCCGCAGTCTCTCGCTAAACAGAGTGACTTCGCAGAAGCTTGGAAAGTCATGGAGGAGAGAAATCAAATACTCTCGATAGGTATGGATGATGTGGCTGCTCCAACAAAACGTATGCTTAACAATACCACGTTATGCGCCCGGTTAAGCATGATCACCAATTTGCCCTACGCATCTTGGACAGACCAGCTTGCGCTGAGGACTCCAGCTGCAGCATTTGCGGAGAACTTCGGTGTCCAGGTCCTTCACAAGATGATGGAGAAGTGGCATCCTCTTCATTCGACACAGTATCAATGGATGAAATCTGTGCTCGCGAACTATATCCTCCGCTATATCGGTGATAATATTGACATGGTCCACCAGATTGAGACGCGACCGCCCTTCCTTGACCATCACGTCACAGAATATGCGAATAATATTCCCCCAAGCCTCAAAATCAAATATGACTCTGAGAGCAAAACTTTTCGCGAGAAGAATGTCCTGCGTGAGGCTATGAAGCCATTTGTTACGGAGGAAATCTATAACCGTACAAAGCACCCATTTGTCGGACCAGTGAAATACCAAGAAGATGGCCCCGTGCACAAGAGCTTAAAACGACTATTGACAGAAGAAAATGTCAACAAGCTGGGATTTCTCGACAATGATCGGGTGCAGAGCGATCTCCTGAAGGCATTTCGCGACAAGGATGGTGTGTGCTTCCAGAGAGCATTCACTGTGGCTCAGTACGTTGTCCTTGGACAAAGATTTGGGGTCAAGAAGGCCCAGGATCCTGGATGCAGCAAGACATCCTCTAGGCTGCTGGTATGAGCCAATAAAGAAGATAACAGGCCTTTCCAGTTTCATGAATGTCCAATGATTCCCCCCTTAATGGCATCTCATTCTAGTCTAGCGGTAGTTAAACGTTTGTGCAATGCGAGAGAAGGGTTCATGTGAGCATCCGAAGGGATAGCGTTCTCGTAAAAACTGTCCGCGTCATCCATGACAATAACGGTCTGGCAGTATCATTGGGGATCCCGACAATTCAGTGACTCGGTTAAAAATCGATCATCTGTAAGGGTTGATCCCATGACTTATCGGTGGCGTAGGATTGCATCTGGTTGGCGCCTACTATTGAATGCAGTACACTGGAAGCCAAATATTGCGATCCTCGGATATAGCTTAGCACTTGCGGTATGCACAAGTACACAAGATTCGAGGCCTAAGAACAAATTCTTTTCTCAGACGGACCGGTGATGATCGTTCACTGCTCTCCACCTGTCAGCTGACCGGGCCGGACTCCGGTTCTTGGTTTTATCGGATTGTAGCCGAAAAATGGTCCCTTGAGAAAGTTGGATGTAACTGGTGAACTATGGGTGACACAGTGAGACAATGACCGGTTGAGCTTTTAGCCCTTTTTGAAGTCATATCTCTCAGCCATGTCAGTCCCTTCTTGCCACTCAAGGCTTCAGGGAGGCCCTGTTCTTAATTGATTATGAATGGCTTTGTCGAATTCCAGAAGCATATCCAGCCGAGAAGGTTGGCAAATACCGTCAGAGAGATATTGACTTCGGGGGTGTTGCCCTGTAAACTTTCCTAGCATATGTTGGAGAAGCGGGGAGCGGGGGAAACGTGGAGAAAGAACGTGGGGGACTCGTTTCCGGAACGAAGATCTGAGGGGATTTATCCGTCTATCGGTAAATTATACCCATTCAAATTCGACAGGCATTGTAGACCATCAAGGAGATGGTATAGAATGCATCGTAAGAAGCTAGCATGCCACTCAGAAAGCGAAGCTGCTTCTTCATGTTTCTTCAGACAGATCAAGGTTGTTCAACGACTTTTGTCGATCATATTACCATGGAAGGAATCCTTCGCCCGCGGAAATAGACCGAAGTACATTTTTACTAGTAGTACCAGCCACATATGACTAGACTAGTCCATGCCTCTCGGCCAGTATCCAGAGTGTTGTTTTTTAGACTCCGTGCAGACAAGTTGTGGAAAAGAGGTCATGTGGCTAACTATTATTGCCTGGCCAGGAAGCCTAAATTCAATCTTTTGTTTTTGTTTTTGTCGGTGGGTCTAATACTGAAAGGTAATAATGAAGGATCTATAGTGTCTTGACCGGTTTCCCGAAACTTCTCCGCATCACTCGGTCTTCAAGGATTTCCTACTGATTGCTCTAGTATGTTCAAAGATTTTATCACCCCAAGTATGTACATGTCTCACAACATATTCAAATCGAAGGAATTTCTCGAGTCTCTTGCAGTGCCCAGGTTTCTATCAAGAGAGAGAGGGGGGGGGATCCGTAGCTTTGGCTAAACTACATGTCCCAACCATGGAACGTCCCTAAGCTTAGGTTTCGTCATCATTTTCCTGATCAATGAAACCCAAGGAAGGAAATCAGTCTTCTGACGGGGGTTATCCAACATATTGACAGGTTGCAGGTTTCCGCTGGACTTTTAAAATAGTTACACATGGCCCACAATGATTCGAACCCTCATGAATCTGGAACAACGGAGGGGACATGTGTAGGATTGCTATATGTCCATGTAAAGCCTTTGTCACGTGTCGCATGGTCACGATGCACACCTGAGCTGGTACTATCCTAGTTCTGGAAGAAGTACTTCTGGACCTTTATGGACTCAAGCAGTGTGCGACAACTTCCTGGTACCGTACGAGTAAATCAGGTACGTACCCTCCTCCCAGGCTGACCTGGATTAAAGGGCAACCCGACACCTTGGAACTTTTCTAAGGGGATAGATAGACTTGGAAGAAGAATTGGACTAGAAAAGTAGAAGAAGAAAAAAAGAAAAAGATCATTCCCAGTCAAGGAAGACTAACGATTAACCGCCACCCCGACACATCGAAGGACCCGTGCGTCAATATTATCGCACATGGCGGTTGTACTGTGGGGTTTTCTGCGAGTTGGCGAGCCAACATGAGTCTAAGATATTTGGGGGGTGTGGACTGTAATTCAGGGGAGGTTGTATGTACAAGTATATTACAAGTGGTACGTGGGTGTTCCTGCGACTAGGTACAGTACATACCGGGGGAGAAGTACGGTTGTATACTAGCTTTGACAGGCGGTACATGTACTTTCTCACAACTAGTAGTTCCCACTCCCACTCCAGATTTCAATCGACCCTCCCAATTAACTCCGCCGGTTGGAAAGGGACCTATCAAATTCCAAAAGAGGGGGGAGTCTTTTTCTCTCCCCAACCAACCACCTGGGTCGAAATCGTCATCTAAAAATTGTTAACCTCGCTGAGTGGCGTTAGTCCACCCTATCACTGAATCATGATGATTTTATTAACAACTGGCCCCTTTCTATTCTTGATATAAATTCCAATGAACTTTTAATTCCTGCATCTTGGCTCCCATGGTTAGCCGACGGATGGGCCATCCGATGGACTGGATTACGAGGTGAGTATCCCCGTGTCTGCCGACTCTTCCCTTGGTACCCCTCCTTCGTCTCTTGAACAAGAGATATAATACATGGAGAGAAGAGAAGAGAGGGAAACCGAAAAAGAAAAGGAAAGGAGAGAAAGAAGAAAGGAGAAAAAGAAAACATTATCTTTTTCTCCAACACAAGTAAGTGTGTGTGTGTGTGCCCGTGTCCCATGCCGATGGGGACTTCGGGTCTTGTCTGAGCTCTAGCCTAGTACTGGGTCGGCATCGAGTCCGCGTCTTCCGCCTTGCTCCAGTTGTCTCCGCAATCCTACTGCTCTAGTGCAACTCTTATCACTGATGCGGGTTTCTCCTCACCGTTCGGCCTTGTCATTATCTATTACTTGGAGTACTCGAGCCCCTTCCCTATCTATCCCACTTATTCCCGTCTGAGGCGGCTAACCCTTATCTGTTCAACTTTCATCTGGATCCTGGGTTGAAGCCCACAATCTCCCGTGAACTTCCTGGGAAGAAGCTCCTCTCTCATTGTTATTGCCTCTTTTGTTTTGTACAACTCACACTTTCTTTGTCTTGGCATCCTCTTTGACCTTCTATACCGATTTTCCATCCCGACAGGTCTCATGTCATCGCTTCTCCTTTGCGTGGGCATGGAAGACATTAAAATCCCCTCACCATCCGCCATCTTAGACCCTCAGCCGGCCATTTCCCCTACTGGTGGACTTTCTAGGCCTCTCAGATCTCCCACCACTAAGAAATCGGTATCAGGACAGCCTGCCACAAATCCTACCATTTCTGGAAAACCTAAGCAATCAAAAAGCCGTAACGGTACGGTAGCACTAGTTCTTTGAATCATTCAAGAAGAGATGGATCGAACGAGGGGGGGGGGGAAATATTATAATAGAGAAGAGGGGAGGGGGATGGAGAGAGAAAGAAAGAGAAGAAAAATAAACAGAGGTCTATAAACGCGCAGTGCGCTGACGTTCTCCACTCTTTCACCATTCAGGTTGCATCACTTGCAAGGCGAAGCGTTTAAAATGCGACGAGTCAAAGCCAACTTGCTTACAGTGTAAGAAACGAAATGTGGAATGTGGAGGATACAAAAAGGACTTCAAGTGGCGCCCATTCGAGGAAACTAACGTTGCGGGGAGGGTATCGACGGCGAAAATCAAAAAAGGTGCGTACCGCTTAGCCTGATGAGAATCACGAAGTAACTGATGAGGTGGTCCTATAGTCACCTCGTCTCCTCCTAGCAGAAGAGCAAACCTAAGTATTTCAACTTCTCCTCCCACCGAGCACTCAGAAGCACAAGTAAAAGATGAAACGGCTGTTTCGCAGTCTCTCCCATCAGATATCAGTGATTTTGCCCAATCCCTTGTCCCTCAATTAAGTGATCCCCCAAGGCAGTTGAACAAGCGTCGCGTTACGCAGAAGAATCTCTCGTTCTGCGCAGACAGTCTGCTGGACAACACAGACTTGGGACAAATTGACGAGGACGTCTTTGTGCCACCTTTAGAAGAGATTGCGCCGCCAGATGAGTCTTCATGGCCATCGGATACCTCACTTCCCATCGCTAAGTTTGATACAAGCCCTGGGGAAACCACCCTCGCGATCCCGGGGGAAGAGACTGTCCATGAGTCCGACGATTTCAGCTTCGCTGCCCTGCTAGAAGGCGATACTGAAGATCTAGAAGCGATCGTTCGACAGTCCGACCCGAGTGTGAGCCCAAGCCTATTCCAGTTTACAGGAATCCGTGTGTCTCCACGGCCAGGAAGTACAGACATCAGCCTTGGTCTATTCAAAGAGCCTACAATATCTGCTGGCAGTCCCGAAAGGTTGATTATGCACTTCGACAGATACACCTGCGGAATATTATCTGTGAAAGATGGGGCCCATGAGAACCCGTGGCGAACATTGATATGGCCACTGGCTAAGGACACACCAGCCTTATACCACGCAATATTTTCTCTGTCTGCCTTTCATTGCAGTAAGAAAAATCCTTCCTTGAAGGTTTACGGGATGGAGCACATGCGCCGGAGCATCGCTTGTATGGTGCAGGACATCCAAAATATGAGAGCGGATGCCGCTTTGGCCACAAGCCTAGCCCTTGCATTTGCTGACACTTGGGACCGGGACACTCGTTCATGTATCCAACACCTACGAGGAGCCAAAGCGTTAGTATCACAAGTGGTGGGACTTGGATTGCAAGCTGGTTTGTGCGCAGCCGATCTGGACAGGATTCGATTCCTTTACAACACTTGGCTGTATATGGATGTCATTGCACGCTTAACATCCCTGGAGGAATCCGGGGATCAAAAGATTGATCTATCCATCCTCCAGCTTCCCAAAAACGCAGTGCATGAGATTGACCCTCTTATGGGCTGCGCCACCACACTCTTTCCGCTCATAGATCGAGTTACCCAGTTAATCCAACGGGTGCGGAAGACTAATTCCAACTCGATATCCCTCGTCTCGGAGGCTATTGAGCTGAAAAGGCGTGTTGAGCAATGGGAGCCCCCTGACTGGTTCGAGCCACCTGAGGACCCAACTTCGGAAGTGCAACACAGTATACAGATTGCACATGCATATCGCTGGGCAACAGTTCTGTATCTTCATCAAGCTGTTCCAGAGATGCCTTGTGAGCCGGCATCAGAGCTCGCCAAGCGAGTGTTACTGCTGCTAGCCACCGTTCCACCGAGCTCCCGTACAACAATCATTCAAATGTTTCCTCTCTTAGCCGCCGGGTGTGAAGCTGATCAGGAGGAAGACCGGCAATGGGTACTAAGTCGATGGAGATCCATTCAGACTCGTCTCATGCTGGGTTCAATTGATCGCTGCATAGACGTGGTTCATGAAGTTTGGATGCGTCGAGACCAGTTCGAGGCCGAAAAGCAGCGGCGACAGTTCCGAGGGGCGGGTCGTTCCAATTCCCTTAATGATCGGGAACCGGTTGAAAGAGATGGATTACCCTACGGCAACATGGCACCCGGGAGTCTAAATAATCCCTCCATGTTTGCTAAAGAGTCATACAGAAGACCAGCAGTTGATGACCGGGCGATATCGTCCAGGGGAACTGGGAACCCACGGCGGAGTTCTGCGGTTTCTCCCCTGGAAAACATCGAATTTGAAAAAACCGTTCGAGGGAAATTACATTGGGTTAGTGTTATGCAAGAATGGGACTGGGAAGGTAAGGTTTCATTATTTCATCTATTTCCCCTCTGTTTGGGAAGAGACTGACAACGTAATCATCATATATATAGTATTTCTTGGGTGAAATAATTCTCGAAAGAAAGAAACATGGCCTCAGTCTTCATCACGCTGTTATGAACGATCCTGCGTCATAGCACGGCTACCCCCGGGTTTCTCATGTTTTTTAGTACCTTGGGGGCGTTCCACGCGTGACTGTGAATGCCCTGTTTCATGGGGTTTGGACGAGCATCTTGATTGCTCGTCGACCCGGTCCTCCAACCCGGGGGACGCGGATCTGTCTCTAGCTAGATACCTGCGGAGGGAAGCCAGATATGGCTCCAGATCGCTTGTTATCGACACGGTAGCCATTTTTGCCAAAGGGCGCAAGGGCTTTGTTCTTGTATGATTCAGTTTTTTGACGGCGTTTGCCTGTCTTGCAGCAACTGAGTGTTTACTATCTGGTGTGCAAATCAGCATGGCGTTTGGCTATTCCAGGAGAAGTTACGGACTTGGGCTTAAACACAGGTCGAGCGAGGAGCCTCGAGTTGCGATGGCTAGGTTTTGGTGTTTTCCGGGCATTTGACGTGGTCTTTGGTCGCCTTGGTAGAAGCAAGCTCAGGGTTTTACGTTGCGAACACAATGGCGCATGGGAGATAAATAGATTTTGGTGTCCAGAGCCGTCCCTAGGCGAACAGAGAGGCTTGCTTTCAGTATCACAAATCTCGTAAGCTAGTGGCGCGGTTGGCTGCCGGGTACGGGTCCCGTATATGAGGTATATATCGTCAACTTGGGGGTGGGGAGCAGCAAAAGGAAACGGATATGCCGTATATGTATGTACAACAATCTATCGAATTACTCTCGGGCACGGGCAACCGATCAAACCGCCAAGAAGGGAGGGGGGAAGTAGTCGTTCAGGAGGAATGGTCAGTCCCGCCGTGATGGAAGAAGGGAAGTATCTGCGCGGGATTGGTACGAATCGCGTTCTGCATTGGGTGTCTGCTGCTTTGCGTTGGGTGCCGTCATGAACAGTGTTTGGCCGCGTTCTTGTTGCTTGGGCTGATTTGAAGTCGGACCGCACGGGGGAAGGGAAGTTCGTAACGACGGATGGGAAGGAGTTTAATGGAAGAGAAGGAAAAAGAAATGAGAGAACAAAGGAGATGGGCGGTGTGGGATTTAAAGGGGAATCCCAAAACTTGAATAGCTCACTGAGGCAACGTAATTCGTAATCAAAAGAAATTAGTACCGCGGATGATCTGATCCGGATCAGGAGAGTATTGCAGTATTGAGTAGTATTTGAGGAGTATTGCGTTTCTCCCGGTATACTAGAAAGGGTCATCTTACCCCGGGAAGAGTGGGGTTTGATACTTAAGTGGTATTTGGTCTCCCAGCCCATAATTAGGGGGGATTGAGAGCGAATGGGATAGGTAACATTGGGGTTGGTCTTACTAAGGTCGATTAATTAACTAGTTTCGAGCCTAGTACTCATTTCGCTTTCTCTTTTGGTAGGTCAGGTGTTTATAGTTTGATTTGGCTTGGTGTGGGTTTAATTAAGTATATTCTTGCGAAGATATCACGATCTATATTGGTCCTTCTCGAAACCCCCAGAGGTGATTGGTGCCTAAATCGATCTCAGCAGTGCCGACTTCTTCTTTGGTACATACAGAGTAACATCCTCGATATATCTATATAGACTGTACTTTGTGTGTACTCTCTGTCCTGCCGATCAATGCCTTCCAATACCTACCATTAAATCATGAGGACGTAGTAGTATCCTGAAACCGCCCGTGCGTTGCTGCAATGACTTATCGAAGTATGTACTCATTGCCGCAGATCCAGTCTCGTGTCCTTTTCCCTCACCAAGATCCCCCTATCCGTTCACTGTGACATAAGCCCGTGATGAAGATCTCAAGCTCTATGCCGAGGTTAGGTCATGATTCATAGCGTGCGTCATATCAACTGTAGCGATATCCTCATTTGTTGAACCGAGTGCCTAGCTAGTCACTCGTGGAACTCTGTCAGGGCCAGATTAATTCCTTTTCCTCCAATGCCGGAGCATGGAGATTTGTAATCGTTTGTCCTGATGGGAATCCGAGACTCCCATTGAGGTCTTATTGGGTGAGGTTCGGCCGAGCGCATGACTTTATGATGTCATACATGCTGGTGGCTCTGGAGAGCCTTATTTATATGTTAATCCTCGACCGCCACTCGGGCATGGTAACAGTTGCTTTTGCATATTATTACTGAGTACTATTCAAACAGTTATTATCTTATTATTTCTCGTGATACATAAAAGAAATATCACCATCCAAGTATAGCTGTTCATTTATCTGTCCACTTTCGTACTTGACAATACATCATGGATCTCGTCACGAAATGGGGCCACCTCAGTAAGGAACATAAGGAAAGGAACCGGAGAAAGTCTACCTCCTCCACCGAAGAAAATAAGGGCGGCGAAGACCATAATGATCAACGGGGTAAGTGGTGTCTCTTCCGTTCTAATGCGATGAGATTGCTTGAAAAATGGGGCGGGGACATGTAACTAATGTGCCTATCATTTAGCGTTCAACTGGCTTCTGGGCAACTTCGGTCGCTCTCACAATGATCATCCTGACCGGAGATCGAGTGGTGCGGGGAATATGGCAACGGATATAGCTGAATGGAGACGGAACCAGTAAGTGAGAGGCTTATTTTTTCTTTTTCTTTTTTTATTGGTGCTGGTTTCATTCTTTGTCTGGGTAGGATAAACTAACGCTCTCTTTTTCTTGTGATTGCAGGAATTTGAAGAAGTCGCAGGAAGAGGCCCCTGATTTGCGGCCTCAGGAAGGTATCTCTGACATGCAGTCCCAGGAAGGGGTTTCTGATTTTCGGCGTCAGTGAGCACAAATTGCAGACTTTTATGGCGATATGAATTTCTTTGTTCTTTCGGGGTTCTTCTGATATCTGGGGTACCTGGTTTTCATTTCATCATGTATTATGATATTAGGATGATCGACGCTGTAGATAATGATGGTTATTTAACCTTATATTTGCCTTGGGTCTTTTGATCTTGATTAGATGGGGCCGTCTCGTGGTAACCTGCCATTTTTATATTTTTCTGAATTGACCCCATGGGGGAATACTGACTGGTATTTGATTTGCGGGAACCTAACCTGTAAACTTATCCATTTACTACTATCTCCATTTATTCAATACTAGGATACGGTAAGAAATAAAAACCAGGGAAACACTAACCCGTCCGGGCAAAACAATCCAGTACTGACTAACTTACCTGCCCTAACTAACCTTAACTGATATTTACCAACCAATTGGTATTGATTGATATCTCGGTAGTTACCGGTAAGTAATCTATCACTCGCATCGCTATCAAGGTACTATCACGGAGAATCCCAGGTCGATCGTAGTGCATCGATCCGACCGGGTTCCCCTCACGACCCCTCAATGTCGAGTAAACAAGATCCTATGTGTTGGAGTATATCTTTCCGGGGGCGCTTCCTGTATCCAACTCCAGCAGCTGGATCCGGTGGGATACTTGCCTATGTGATTGCGTGCGATGAAAGATCCGAATGCAATGGTATTATGTTTGGCGTTATAAAGTGATAGATCTTGTGCTTCAGATCTGATCGAAATGTGAGCCATACTGTCCACTGATCAACTCTTGATCTTTACAAACGACAACCAACAATTCTACAATTTCCAACAACCGGGATCTTGTTATCACCTCAAACTCTAAGCAAAATGCCTGCCGCATTCACCTACATCGCCAAAGCCCAGTCCACCTACAAGCCACCCCTCATCGCAAACGATAATGCTTTCCTGGGGGACGTAGTCTCGAGGTAAGACGTCATTCCTACCATACCTATCCAACCATTGGACGCTGACCCGGAATCTGTACCACGCTTAGTGAACACAATGACCCCAAGAAGCCCATCTCGGGCGGTTTCTACCGTCTGGAGAAAGGCACTCCTCTAGTCTACGAGTACCATTTCGATGAGACGAAGATCATCCTCGAGGGTGAATTTGAGATCTCGGACGAGACCGGACAGAAGGTTACGGCGGGTCCGGGGGATGTCTTTTATTTTCCGAAGGGTTCGAAGGTTACCTTCACAACGCCGTCATACGGCTTGGCGTTTTTTGTGAGTTGGATTCTCCCCTTTCCTTTTTCGCGGGTTGGAAGTGTAGCGCGTTTAGGGTGTGAGAGACTGTGTGAGTGATGAATATGGCTAATCGAGGTTTGGTAGACTGGACAACGGGCTCGGCTGTAACTGTGAAATCTGACTTGCATCTTCACGAGGGATGGGATTGATTGGATCAACTGGGTCGATGACGACTACTTTGGTTTATTAGATCGCGAACTAGGACTTGCACTTTACTTTTCCCGATTTTTTTTAAATTTCAAATCCATGGAATCAGTTTTCACTAGTCTGGTGTCCCCACTTTTTCCGTTGTGAAATGACGTCCGTTTGTTTACCATGGGTCTATTCATAGAAATCGTAGCCTTGGGCGATGTGACATGGTCTTTTCTTCCACGTCGTCATGCAATATGGTGGAAATTGGATCTGTGTAGACATGTAAGGGTAAAGGATCTGCACATGGTAGTATTATAGCTGAATGGTCATCTCCTATGTGCGAGTTGATCCAATCCCCTCGAGAAGAGAGAGAGGAACCGAACTACGAAGACCTGCCACGGAGAATTCAGCCGCATGGATCGTCAGCATCCACTAACGATCTTGTTTTTTTTTTTTCTTTTTCCTTTTCGACAGGGAAAGTGTGGAAGGATTTCCCTGGCGGATACTACTAGGTCGATGACTTGCAGGTCCAGAAACCCACACAATCACAAAATCTCCTACGCTGATCCATCGATCACTCCCCAAGACAGGGGATAGTCCAATCAGCAGGCAGTGCCTTGACAAGTTGATCCGATAAACTCGAATTTCCCCCTAGGAATTACGGCAGGCGCATCTGGATCGGCCGTGTCTAGAGGGATCGGAAGAAGGGAGTTACCGGAGCAACGGGCGAGTAGGGCGAGCACAGGAGAAATTAAAGCATGCACTAGCTATTCTGGTTGGTCAGGAAACTGTGGGGAGAAATGAAGCCATTGGGTAGCGGGCTGCAGGCGCTTCCGGCCTCAGGCCCTCAGGTATTCCATCGAGTCTAGTGGTCGTTTAGTTTAGTTGTTAGTGTTCAGCTTTCAGCTTCAATCTCCATATCCCTGTCTCTCTCATTCTCCCCTTCCCCTCCCTGTCTCTTCTCGGTTCGCCTCTCCTCCACGATCTTAAAAACTATTTCATTCATCTCTGTACGCGAGATCTTTTAGCGAGTGTGACTTACTTCTGGTCTTTGTCCTTCGTCTTTCTCTTCTCTTTCAGAACCCCCTATCAAACAAAGCCATTCTTCACGTCGGTACCCGATTTCCAACGGCAGTGGTTCTGGACGGCTCCCGCGTTCTTTGTACCGCTCATTGCTTTTTCCTGGTTCTGAGTGGGTTTCACTTTATTTTTTGTTGACCTCTCTCACCGATATTTCCACGACTCGTGCAACTTGTTGCTCTTTCTTGTTGATTTCTTTTCTTTTCCTTTTTTTTT